CTTGCTTTAAAAGCGCTTTTTAAAGCGCCCTTTTTTCTCCGCGGTGGTATTTGTCGCGCTGCTGATGACGTCAGGTACGCGCTTTAATCGGCCGCGCTTTAGTGGACCGCGGTTTTGTCGTGCCACGTTCATACCCACCCTCAAACTCATGTCTTGCATTCTCATCAGACCTTTGCACTTTCTCAGGCCTCTTTAATTTTAACCAGTCCTTGGTCTCTTTTAACATTCTGCAACTATTCATCTCTCTTTATGTACATATTATACAGTGGCTTTCTTTTATCATGTTTGCAACTATTATTCTCTTATATGCATTGCTTCTCATCCTCTTTTCATCATTCATTCAAGCATCCTCTTTCACCGTTCCCATTACATTAGTATAACTACACATATTTCTTTTCACTTTATTTCAAGAGTTTCATATCCTCTTTCTTTAATGGCTCTTTTCCTTTCCTTCTGTTGGGAGGAAAATAATTCTACCTTCTGATTATTTTCCCATACAGAATGCAGTCATTTTACTTTCATTCTAGTTTTTTTAATTCCTCTCCTTTTCTTCCATTTCATTCCCCTCAATATTCCCTACTAGATATGCTTATTGCAAATAACCATATTCAAAACTAATATCTTTTTCTATGTAGATAACTACCAGATACCATTCTAATTAAGTAACTAATAGCATAATATTTTCTCCTAGGAACACATTCATTTACAATATTCACAATTTTTCGCAATTCATTTCTGCTTTGGCTATTATGATAATTTACTAAGTCATAACATGCACTAATAACCAACTTATGGAGGCATCCTATCATACTCCCTTATAACAACAAAGATAGCACTAATTATTTCTGACCTAAATTTTAGCCCTTTCATTCATAATGTAACCCTTCGTTTCCTTGCATGTATTCTACAACTTTATTTCACAAGATCAGATTATTTCCTTAACTTTTGAAGCCTCACAACTCCTTAACAAATCTAAGTGGTTCACAAATAAAATAATAATAATTTATATAAAAAGAACACCATTGAACAGAAGAACAAACACCTAATCTTAAATTAGATTAATTTCTTTCTTTCTTCCATTTTATTCATGAATTCATGCTCTATACCATTTGTCCTCTTACTTCCCAACTTTCAGTCTTCCATATGTCTGTCATCAGCAGTATAGATATTGACTTCTACTGCCCATCATAGCTTTAGTCAGTGAAGGCTTTCACATAATTCTTTTCGGTGAAATAGAGAAAGTGTAAACTAGGTCACCGGTCTTAAAGTTATCTGTGCCACTTGCATCATTTCCTACTCAGGAAGGGCACTACATGTCAATTTTGGCTCATGAAGCACAATTCTGTCCCCACGCAATTATATGCAAGCTAGGTTCTCTACTAGAGAAGCCAAAATGCTGTTGCTCACATCCTACAAACTAGGAGATATTCTCACACATATGCAGGATGCACACTGTCTTAGAGAAAGACAATTTTGGATAAATATGGGGATTCATCAATTTTAAATGTAAGAGAATATATGACAAACACCATTAAGAAAAATCAGTCCAATGAGCATTAAATTAAAGGAGAATTATCTCTATTCCCTTTCTTCTTTTTTGCTATGCCCCCTTCTTAGCTTTTAATGCCCTGTCTAGCTCTTTGCTGCTCTCTGGAGGGAAGCACAGGATGTTGTGTTTGTACAATAAAATGCAACAAGAAGCAACAGCATCCATACATTGCACTACAGCATAATGTATATTTTGTTTAATTTCAGTTCAATGTGTTGTGCGTATTCAGTCACTTTGATTTGTCATCCTGGTTTATGTTTAGTTGCTGGGCCAATTGTGGCTCACTAAATAAGCCATGTTTAATCAAACCATAGCTTAATGCAATGTGTGAGCTCAGCTTTCCTTCCTCAATCCTAGCCAACCCCAAAACTGCAAAAAGACACATTTCTCAAATTATCCAGGTTCAAAGAAAGAAAGAAACATCCTGTTTATTTAAGGAGAGCAGAGACAGATTCAGCATCACAGAGCGAAAATATGTCCAATGTGCATAGCATTTCTTACATCCCTTATTTTGTTTGTTCTTGATATTCTTATCCACTTCTTTGTCAGAGCTGAGGCTCGCAGAGGGAACTCACAACTTAGCCCCAATAGATCAGCACAAAGAATACTACCAACTACCTGACAGCATCAACAATCAGCTCTATTTTTGTATTCAAGCATGTTGCAAGCCCTTTCTGTTTATAACTCACCCCCTTTCCTGTGTTTTTAAAGGCAAGAAGAGAAATAACAAATCTTCCCTCCAGAGTCCATGAATTTGTTACCATATATTTGAGAGCATTTATTGATCTGCAAAGAATTCCATATTCTTTGTCTCCTGAGTATTTTATAATTTAGAAAGTTCAGTATTGATGGCCATCCAATCAGAGGGCAGATGGTTTTGCAGCAAGTATCTTGTCTATATCCCCAACTGAACAATAACTCAAATGGATCCTACAAAATATAGGCAGACAACACCTCACTTACTGAGTACTTTGATCATTGTATTTGTATGAGTGTATTCACTATCCAAAGTGACAATGCCAACAGATAGGAATGCTCCTCCAATAACACTGTCCCCAGACTCCTTTGGCTCATTCTTTAGAGGTATTCTATTGGTTGTTTCTAGTCATTAAGTAGGTGGTTGTCTTGCTAGGCCTGGATGACATACAGATATGAAGAGTCCAGCTTTCAGACTATTTCCTGCTCATGTTTAAATCGTTGTGGTGCTAATGGCCATTTAGCTTTCCTCAAGCTAAATGGCCATTAGCACCACAAAAGTTTCAGCATAGACCCTCTACCATAAAGGATAGGCAAAACATGAGCAGAAAATGGTCTGAAAGCTGGACTCTTATATCTGTATTTCATTCTCATGAGGCAACCACCCACTTAATGGCTAGAAACAACCAATAGAGGGTTTAAATGGGGTATTTCCCGCTCCTTCGGTTTGGAGGAATCAGTATTAATGGCTGTGCCTTGGACACTTAGCTCAGACTCCTTTGAAATCTGCCTTTTAGACAAATAATTTTATAATTGAAATGTTGAACAAATTTGTCACATAGCAGACTGATAAAGGCTTGGGTGTTTCAAGTAGGGAAGAGTAGTTTGCAACCCTTAAGCTAAAATGCATTGTAATTTGCAAATATGTTTTCCCTCCATGCTGCTAAGCTATAGGCATAGCCGTGTTTCCTAATGTGCATTCACTCATGTTTGTGATAAGTTCTCCATCATTAATTCTTTAGCCAGTTGTATCATCACCCACAATGATGAAAAGTAGAGTGCAGTACATAATATGCAAAGCTGTAGAAGATTCTTAAGGGTGATTGTCTTAGCAGCCATCTCATCATACCTTTCCGGTTAATAGCTAAGGTATCAAAAAGATCACCAGTTTTAACCATGCAAAAAAAAAAAAATCCATTAGATTCCATAAGACTCCAGGCAGACTTCCCCAAGTGATTCTCCATTCTTGAAGTGAAAGACTCTTTGAATGTTATGAGCCCAATTCCCACAATAAATTCATCTGACTGTGATTATTTTTATCATGATTAAAAAAAACATGGCAACAGCCATTATTTGCTTTGTGTTCAGATGGATAGCAAATCAGTACAACCTCAATTTTTTTAAAACTTCTACTCAATCATGTCTGATTCTTGGAAACTACCTGGACAAGTCCCTGCAGTTGTCTTGGCAAGGTTTTTCAGAAGTGGTTTGCCATTGCTGCCTTCCAAGGGCAGAGATAAAGTGACTGACCTATGGCCACCTAGCTGGCTTTGTACCTAAAACAGGATTAGACCTCACAATCTCCCAGTTTCTAGCCTGATGCCTTAACCAAAATACTAAACTAGCTCTCTCGGTGTTGTTATAGATGCCATGAATTCCTGAGCTGATCCAATATAATCTTAGCATGGAGGTCGACTTCCCCCAGGACACATTGTTCTGGATTCTGCAACAATACTACTAAAAGTATCTCAGCCAATAGATTTGTGCAGAATAGTTCTTACTTTAAAAACGTCTTGTTCCAGAGCATCAGAGTACCTCTAAGCTCCTTAAATTGAGGGTATTCAGGAGCAATTATGTATCCAGGCCCCATATGCTTCCTGTGAGTTAATCTTTTCAGAAGAGTGCAGTACATTTTTCCTGTATTTACCTCATTTAACAACATCCGTATCCTTCATTGATTTGTGGTTTTTAAATATTTTCCAAACTAGTATCATTTGATGTAGCCAGTTTGTCAAGAGAAGATCAAACCCAAACCCTTTCCAAGTTTGCTTTTCTAGTCCCGTCTCCTGTTCTAAAAGTTGGCTTTAGGCTTTCTAATTCAATTCCAAATGCCAGCATGTAAGAAATAAACTTTTTCTATAATTGTACTCCAAACCAAATGATGAAGAGATGGAGTAAGTGTTTTTTTCTCCACCTAGAGTCAGGTATACTATTAGGTATAATAAAACAGATACTCCAGAGATGCATGTTTTAACTTAGTATGTTATGTGGGCTCAGTTGAAATTTTATCAGGTTCAGTTTGAGTTGCAACTCCTTCTTGTGTCCAAATGTGAGGTCTAAAGGAGTCTTGTCTTCCTTGATCTCTAGTACAATTAGTATTTCTAACCATCCTAATTCTTTCTTGTTAATGAGATTGCATTTCTGTCCATTGGAAGGTTAGAATTGAATTGAATTGAATTGAATTCTTTATTGGCCAAGTGTGATTGGGCACACAAGGAATTTGTCTTTGGTACATATGCTCTCAGTGTACGTAAAAGAAAAGATACATTTGTCAAGAATCATAAGGTACAGCACTTAATGATAGTCGTAGGGTACAAATAAGTTGTTCTCCATTGCTGATGACTCATAACACAAGGACCAAGTTTCTCTCCTGGCAGTGAGCCCTGAGAACAAGTTCCAACATGCTGTGTCCATGGCAAACATTGTTTGTCTCTCTCCCTCTGCTCAATAAAATGTAACCAGGTTCTGTTTCCAATAGATGGGCACTACATCCTGAGGTGATAAGGTCTGAACTTCAGAGAATAAAGTGAAATATACAAAAAAAGTAAGTGTACTTTTCATACAAATGCAAGGGTCAGAGGACAGACTCTTATTGGCACCCCTCAAAAAGCTTTCCTTTACATCATGAGGTGTATTACAGTTGTGTGTTCCAGCTTGTAGATGACAATGTATAGAGAAATAATTTGGTTAAGTTATTCCTGTAAAAATTAAAATTGTAGTACTTAGAAAATAGATGTATTTATTTCAGCATAGGTTTTTTAAGCCAAAGGCCACTTCATCAGATGTATGCAATACTGAATTCAGTTGTTCATACATGCATGTATGAAGAGTAGTGGAAAATATGCAAAATGTTAGTATAGAGAAAAATATTGAGCAGTGATTTTCACAAAAAACACTTCTGGTATCTTTGCCTTTTGTCAAAATATATTTCCATTTTTTGGATAATATTTTATCTATCTAGTTTATGAAAATATAATCCAGTCATGTAAACATTGACTGATTTTTAAACAGGTGTAAGATTTTTTGTTATTTTGTTTTGAGGAGGATTTTTTTATGTGGGGGGGAGCTATCCCAATTATTCAAAAGAAAAAATGGGGTTTTGTGGGTATATACAATAAAGCTTTTTTTAATTATTATTTTTTCCCTCAACAATTTTCCTTTCTCCTTTCTAAGGTTATCTATGGCACCTGTGGAAGCCCTGTATACCATTCTTCAAGATGAGATTCAGGCCTTTGAAAAGCACATAAGAAGTTGCCAGAAGGCTTTCGACATTCACACTCTTTACAATGTATTGTTGCTACTGCTCCAGGAAGATGATGGTGTAGTAGAGATTCACAGTCTCCAGCAGTTGGAAAAACTGGTGGAGTCCAAGGAATGTAACAGAGAGGACATTGTGAGAATTACAATTAGTGAAAATAAATCTGACATTGCCAGCTACATTTCTTGGTTTGTCTCTTATGTGAGCTACCTAAGTTCTTTGAAAGAAGAGTTTGATGCCAAAGTTGTGTTTCCTTTGTGTGAGAACCTATATGTTAATGATGACTCACTGGATGGGCTGCCTTTGGGATTCATGAAAGGATGCAGGCCTCACGCCACAGTATCAATAGCACGTACAGCTAGGCAGTTGTTTGCCCTCAGAAGGAAATGGGCCTTGCTCCTGAAAAAGGACTCGATCTGCGAGCAAACCTTTCATCCCCAGAGCCGCCTTGATCTGCAGGGTTTTGCTTACACCCGTCCCTTTGTGAAGATCTTGAGGCTAGTCCCTGATCTTTTTCATAAAAGTTTAGCAGCTGCTGAGCTTACTAAGCAGTGGGTGAAATACCATGCCAGCAGGCATAGCTCCCACCCAGAACATTCACATGCAGTCCTAATCCAGAGGTGTGATGACATAAGAGTGATGAAAGGCAGTCTGGCCCATCCCTGGCATGATGCATCCCTTTGCCAGTCTGAACTACCTCTAAACCATCATGACTGTATGAAGACCTCACGACCATCCAAAGCTGACAACAATAAAAATAATATGGACATGTATAAGACGACAATTATCCAAGAAAGAAATCAGCTTCAGGAGACCTATGGAGAGCTCATGTCCCTGCTCTGGCGGGAGGAACGTTCTTGGACACTGGAAGGAGAGATTCATGAGGTAAACCAGAGGATTTCGGTTCTGCATCTGCAGCAGGAGGCCAAGGAAAGTGAACTTGAGCAACAACTCAAGGAAGGCAACTGGAACATGTCTAGAGCACAGCACCAAAGAAATCTCTGTGAGCTGAATAGACATCTTAGGCTGGAAAAGTACCGCAAGAACATCTTGCAGGGAGATTGGCTACTAGAGTTGGAGGTCAGGCCAATCCTTATACGACCAATTTATACAGTAAGAGTCTAGGTTAATAAGTTGTGGATAATCAAGGATGGTCACAATTCTACCAGCTGTGGAACAAAATGCAGGTCTTCCAATAGCTGTGGAGAATTGGATCCTGAATAAATTAAAAAGGCAGTGTACTATATTTGGAGGGAATAATGTACAATAGTGGCCAAAATTGTGGAAATCGTTTGGGAAAAGTGTACAGTATTTTTGTGGTTTCATGGCTAATAACACCACTTTTTTTACTAGTACCATAAAATTATATATCAATGGAGAGATAATTTAATCAAGAATGTAATGCAACAAAGTTTGTTCAATTATTTGTATTATATGAAAGGTTATAGCCAAGTAACCAGAAAAAGGAAGCACAACTTGCTTTGTTTGATATCAGTTAGCTTTCTTTCATCTAATTGTAGCCAATGAGCATGAGTGTTTAGAGAGCCAATCAGGTGTCATCTTGTTTCGATAGTGAGCCAATCAGATCACAGTACGATTCAGTTGTTGATATCATGTATTGAAGCTGAGAGGAGGACATTTGTCAGATATAATTTTTGTATATCTCATTTTTTCTACTTTTTTCACTTTTCTTCTTTATAACTGCTATTCTAATAAAAAATCCTTCATAAAAGTTATTGCATTAATTTTTTGATTAAATTACCTTTCCATTGATATATAATTTTATGGTACTACTCCCCCCAAAAAGTGGTGTTATTAGTCATCAGACCTCAAAAATACACTTTTCCCAAAAGGTTTCTACAATTTTGGCCATTATTGTATTAATGATCTTGTGTCAAAGAATGGAGGAAACGAATCCTTTTTGTTAGGTGTGGCTGTTAGGCAAAAGGGGTTCTTCTGGATTACTTAATTCTGCTATCATGTGAATGATTCATGTCATTTCTGTTTGCCTTCCAGTTGCAGGAACGCTGCCAGAAACTTATGAGGCTTTTGCAGGTTGAGGAAGAGATTCAACATGATCTCCTGCCAGCTGAGAGAATTGATTCACCCGCTTCCTGCAACTCAGTGGGCCTGAACATATTGAGTTCTTGTCCTTGAGAATGAAGAGTGCTCTAGCCTACAGTGATACCGTTAATGTAAATTTGGTTTCAGAGGAAATTCCCCATCTCCCTTTCCCCCACCTTTATATTACATAATATAATCACCTCAGTCCTAGCTTCGTAAGCTGTACTGTAATGTGTTTTACTAAGGGCTGCCATTGATGATTGTCTGGAAGCTGCAGCTGATGCAGACTTAGTAATGCATCCCTTATCACGGATGTATATAATGTAATGCTAGACTATATCTATAAAAGTCCAGTCAAAAAGGTGAATAGTGAAAGATGCTAGGAATTACAATTCAATAACAGCTCATGTTTCTCACCCCTGATAAAATAATTTAATTCATTGTTGGTATCCGTGATACTTTGGAATAGGGGAAAGTGTATATGATTACTGACCAAAATATCTCATCATAGAGTCTTGCTTATTGGAAAGTGAACTCGGAAAAAAATATATTGTTTCAGCTATTTCAGCTCACCACAACTAAACCCAAAATTTCTGTTGCTAAGCAAGGCAGTTGTTAAGGGAATTTTGCCCCATTTTACGACCTTTCTTGCCACAGTTATTAAATGAATCACTGCAGTTCTTGTTAGCGTTATGTTGTTAAGTGTTGCTTCCCCTTTGATTATTCCTGTCAGAAGGTCACAAAAGGTGATCACATGATCCTGGGACATTGCATCCATCATAAATATATGCCCATTGCCGAGTGTATGAAGTTTGATCACCTGACCATGGGGATGCTGCATAGTTGTAAGGGTGGAAAATGGTCACAAGCCAACTTTGAACAGTCACTAAATGAATGGTTGTAAGTCAAGACTATCTGTAATTCAAATTTGCAAACAGTTCATGTGGTACAGAATAGTTGCACAATTGTAAGACCCTTTTTTGTGGTAAGGGAAAGATGAACAAGTAGGACTGCTTTGCTGTGGTTAGACAAGTCATTTTTTTCCTCCTGGAATTCTACAATAGTGAGTTTATCAAGGGGAATCATATTCTTGGTTTGGGAGTGCACTGTATGAGTTGAAATGACCCCTTCCTTGGTATTAAGGAAGTATTTTCTCATGGCAGAATTTCATCCACCAAAAGGCTCTTTGGTTGAGCAAAGGAATGGAAAACAGGAACCAGAAACTTTGTTCTGGAAATAACCAAATCTCAAACAAGAAGCACGGGTATTGATGAAATCAGTCATGACTTAAAGTCATGGCAGTCAAAAAATTCCTGAACTAGCTGAAATAGAGACACACATTGCTGACAAAGTTCAACTCTTTGTCTAGCCTATTTTGGATCTGGAGCATTAGGGTATTCTGGGATTTTCTCCTACATCTGCTGTCAGCCCTCAGGCTGCCATCCAGGGGGAACCTGTCCATCACTATGCCCACCACTAACGCTGCCACGTTGATGTTGCCTCTCTGATGTCATTGAGCCTGTAGCTGCATGTGGCTCTTCTACTCGGTGACGGTGGGTGGGTGTCATCTGGGTGGAGTTGTGGGTGGAGCTGGGTGGGATAATGGTATATATATATATATATATGTGTGTGTGTGTGTGTGTGTGTGTGTGTGTTTTATTTGTGCTGATAAATAAATAAAGGGA